GGCTGAGACAGAAGGATCACCTGGACCCAGCAGTTCGAGGCTGCGGTGGCTGTGAGCATGCTACTACACTCCAGCCTAGGCGACAGACTGAGACTCCAACTCAAACAAACAAGCAAACAAAAAAACACTGAGAGAAATTAAATGGAAAGATATCCTGTGTTCATGGATCGGAAAACTTACTATTAAGATAACAGTAGTATCCAAAGTAATACACAGATTTAATGCAGTCCCTATCAAAATTCTAAGTTTTTTGGGTTTTTTTACATAAATAGAAAAACTCATCCTTAAATTCATATGAATCTCAAGGGATCTCAAATAACTAAAATAGTCTTGAAAAAAGATGATCAATATTGGCAGAATCACAATTCCTGATTTAAAAACTAGGCCGGGTGCAGTGGCTCAAGCCTGTAATCCCAGCACTTTGGGAGGCTAAGGCGAGAGGAATGTCTAAGCCCAAGGAGTCGAGAACAGCTGGGGCAACTCAGCAAGACCTCGTCTCTACAATAAATCAAAAAATTAGCCAGGCGTGGTAACGCGCACCTGTAGTTCAGCTACTTGGAAGGCTGAGGCTGGAGGAGCGCCTGAGACCAGCAGGTCGAGGCTATCTATGGTGGTCGTGAGCGTGCCACTGAACTCCAGCCTGGGCAAGAGTGAGACTCCAACTCAACAAAAAACCAACAAAAACAAAAAGCTAACTACCCAGCTGCAGTATTCAAAATAGTGTGGTATTGGAATAAGGCAAACATACAGACCATTGCAGCATTATTCATAATAGCCAAAAAAGTGAAAACCTCTATCAAAATATGAATGGATAAAGAAACTCTGTATGTTATTCAGTCATTAAAAGGAATGAAATTCTGATACACCCTACACAACATGCATGAACCCTGAAAACATTATGCTAAGTGAAATAAGTCATATACAAAAGGACAAATATTATGTAATTAAGACTTATACTGCCAGGTGCGGTGGCTCATGCCTGTAATCCCAGCACTTTGGGAGGCTGAGGCAAAAGGACTGCCTGAGTCCATGGGTTTGAGACCAGACTGGGCAAAATGGCGAGACCTCGTCTCTACAATAAATCAAAAATAAAATTAGCCGGGCATGGTGGCATGTGCCTGTAGTTCCAGCTACTTGGAAGGCTGAGGCTGGAGGATCACCTGAGCCCAACAGGTTGAGATTATGGTGGCCGTGAGCGTGCCACTGCACTCTAGCCTGGGCGACAGAGTAAGACTCTAACTCAAAAAAAAAAAATTATAGTGGGTAATTCAGGATGGTAGATTCAGAGACAGAAAGTAGAAGAGAGGTTACCAGGAGTTGGAGGGAAGGGGGGAAGGATAATGAGAAGTTATTCCTTAATGGATACAAAGCTGCTGTGTGAAATGATGAAAAAGTTCTGAAAGTTGCTATATAACATTGTGATTGTACTAATGACATTGAATTCTATACTTAAAAATACCTAAAGTGGTAAATTTTATGTTAAGTATATTTTGCCTCATTTTTTAAAAAAAAGTACTTATTTCCATAGGCTAGTAGCAACTATCAGAAATTAAAAATTATTAAATACCACTTATAAAAGCATCAGGAAGCACTAAATACATAGGGACAAAATTGAAAAAAAATGTACATTGGACACTGCTGCAAGAAATTAAAGACAAGGAAAATAGAAAGATATACTGTGTACCATCAGGTGCAGTGGCTCATGTCTGTAATTCTCAAGACTTTGGGAGGCAGAGGTGGGAGGACTGCTTGAGACTAGCATTTCGAGACCAGCCTGAGCAACAAAGTGAGACTGCATCTCTACAAAAAAAAAAGCCAAGCACACCTGTAGTCCCCGCTACTCGGGAGGCTGAGGCAGAAGGACCACTTACACCTAGCAGTTGGAGGCTGCAGTGAGTCACTGCACTCCAGCCTGGGTGACAGAGCGAGACTCTGACAAAAAAAAAAGATGTACCATACACATGGGTTGGAAGTCTCAATACTGTTGATATCAATTTTCCCCAAACTAATCTAAAGAAGCCCCTGGGTAACACAGTGAGACTCCATCTCTACCAAAAAAAAAAAAAAATTAGCCAGTCATAATGGTGCACGCCTATAATCCCAGCTAGGCAGAAGGCTGAGGCAGGAGGATCACTTGAGCCCAACAGTTGGAGGATGCAGTGAGCCATAATCATGCCCTGCACTCCAGCCTGGGCAACAGACCAACAACCTGTATCAAAAAAAAAAAAAAAAAAAAAAGCAAGGCAATCCTAATCAAAATCACAGAAGGCTTTCTTTTTTTTTAGTTGGAGTCTCATTCTGTCGCCCAGACTGGAGGGCAGTGGCCGCTCCTGGCCACCGCAGCCTCGACCTGCTGGGCTCCAGCGATCCTTCCACCTCAGCCTTCCAAGTAGCCGGAATTACAGGCATGCGCTACCACGCCCGGCTTATTTTTTGATTTATTGTAGAGATCAGGTCTCACCAAGTTGCCCAGGTGGGTCTCGAACCCACGGGCTCAGGCAATCCACTCACCTCAGCCTCCCAAAGGCGTGGGATTACAGGCTGAGCCACCGAGCCCGGTTAGAAGGCTTTCTTTATGTAAAGAAATTGACAAACTGATTCTAAAAAACATATGGAAATACAAAGGAACTGGAAGAACCAAAACAACTTTGAAAAGGAGGAATAAAGCTGAAAGATTAACACTACTTAATTACGAGTCTTATTATAAAGCTACAGTAATCAAGACAGTATGGTATTGATGTCAAGAGAGGAAAACAGATTAATGAAACAGAATACAGAGTAGAGAAATAAATCCAGATATATATGAACTAATTTTCAAAAAAAGAAAAAATGCAGAGATAAGGGATAGAGCCTTATTAATAAATGGTGTTGAAACAACTAGATATTTACATGCAAAAGACTAAACTTTGGTCTGTATCTTCCACCAGATGCAAAAATTAACTCAAACTGTATATAAACCTAATTGTACCTAGAAAAAAATCTAGAAAACCTTTGTGACCTTGGGTTAGGCAAATGTTTCCTAAAAAACAAATGTTTCCTAAAACATCAAAAGCATGATCCACACACACAAATATATAAACTGGCCTTCAAAATCAAAAACTTACACCCAAGCATGGTGATTAATGCCCGTAATCCCAGTTTTTTGGAAGGCCAAGGGAGGAGGATTGTTTGAGCCCAGAAATTTGAGACCAGCCTGGGCAACAATAGTGAGACTTAATCACTACCAAAAATAGAAAAATTAGTCAGGCATGGTGGCATGTGCCTCTAGTCCCAAGAGACTGAAGTGGAAGGATCACTTTCAACCCAGAACATCAAGGCTGTGGTAAACCACGATAGTGCCACTGCACTCCAGCCTGGGTGACCTCAACTCAAAAAACAAACAAACAAAAAAACCAATTTTTTTTGAAAAAGAGCAATTTATCAGAACAGAACTTCGCCAAAGAAAACATAAATTGGCAAATAAGCATATGAAAAAGTGTTCAAAATCATTAGTCATTGGAAAAATACAAATAAAAACTATAAGGTATCACTACATGCCGATGAAACTGAATAAAATGAAAAAGACTGTAACAACTACTGGTGAGGATATACAAACAAGTCTCACACATAGATGGTTGGGATATATTTGGTAATACCACTTTGGAAAATAGTTTGACAATGTCTTAAAAAGCTACATACACACACTTACCATATGATCTAACCATTCCATTTCTAAATATTTACCCAAGATTAATGGATGCCCATGTCTTTACAAATACTTGTATACAAACATTCATCATCACTTTATTTGTAATAGTCTCTAATGGAAACAACACATTATGCCCTTGAAAATGTCAATCAATAAACAAATTGTGATGTACCCTAAAATGGAATATTACTCAGCCCTAAGAAGGTATGATTTATGGATATACACAACATGAATGTATTGCCAAACATTAGAATGAGTGAAAAAAATAGACAAAGTATACAGTATATGATTCCATTTATAAAAATTCTAGAAAATGCAAACCAATCTATAATGACTGAAAGATCAAAGGCTGGGAAAGGAAGGACAATAGGGCACAAAGGGGCTTGAGGAAACTTCTGGAGGTGATGGACATGTTCATATTTTAACTGCAATGCTGATGACTTTATGAGTGTATACACATGACAATATTTACCAGACTACACACTTTAAACATAAATAAATACATGCAGTCAATACACCTCAGTAAAGCTGCTTGCAAAAAATATATATTATGATATAAAAAAACTCCCAACTACTTGAAAAAGAAAAAAATCGATAAAACAAAAATGTTTTTGCCCCCAAAATGTTTAACATATATATTCATTTGCATGTATGCATGAAATATGTTAACAGAAATATTTGTCATTTAAAAAGACATAGTTCCCTCTCGAAAATGACATCAGAGAAGACATTACTTCTTACTACATATGCTTCTATACTACTTGACTCTTGCATCACAAATGTTTTACTTTTATTATAAAAACTTTCCATTTTTCTTTTAAAAAATTCTAAAAATAAAGACTATATAATAATGATAAAGTTAAACGATGATAATTATTATTATTATTATTTTTTTTTTTTTTAGTTGAAGTCTCACTCCGTCACCCAGACTGGAGTGCAGTGGCTGCTCCCGGCCACCGCAGCCTCGACCCGCTGGGCTCCGGCGATCCTTCCACTCAGACTTCCAAGTAGCTGGAACTACAGGCGCACGATAATTATTTTAAAAGCTATTTTTTAAAATGAGAATATATTTTGGTTATATAATGTGATACGAATAATATTAAGGATGGAAAAGCGCGTGGAGTTAAATCAGCCAAAATGGTGTCGGTGTATGTGCAAAGACCGGTTGGATCATAAGTTTCTTAAAATAACTTTAATTTCCAAATTTTTGATAATTTGCTAATTGTGTTTTATAAGTAAACAAAAACATAATCTTTCATTTTATAACAATTCTAAAATAATGGCAGAAATCCAAAGACTCAGGGCTTCTTACCTAAATTGGCACTACTGAGCATGCCAACCAACGCAGGCATAAGTTGAAACTCAAATATCCTCTGGCCTCCACAGTGGCAGCAGGGTGGGAGTTCAGTGACTTCTGATGTAGGACAGGTCAAAAAGAGTGGCTCTCCACTCCAAGAATACCTAAGACAAAGAGACAAAAACCCTGAATCAGAGCCACATGTTAGGCCATATTCCAACATCTAAGACCAACAAACATTCTTTGCTTCTTGCAGAGAACCAAGAGCCACATAAGCAGCAAAGAAAATCCTCCAGAAGTGCAAAAGACTAGCAGGATTGCTGTAAAGCATAGCAAGTTACCAGAAAAAAATGTAAAGAAAATATCTAAAATAATCAAAATGTGAAAACAAAAGATAGTATTTAAGAACTATGGGATAATTTAAAATAGTCTAACATACAAATCACTAGAGTACCAAAAAAAAAAAAAAGAATAGAAAAAACATTTCAAGGCTGGGTAAGTGGGCTCAGCCTATAATCCCAGCACTTTGGGAGGCCGAAGAGAGAAGAATGTCTGAGCCCGGGGGTTCGAGAAAAACCTGGGCAACTTGGCGAGACCTAGTCTCTACAATAAATCACAAAAAATAGCTGGAAGTGGTGGCCTGCGTCTGTAGTTCCAGCTACTTGGAAAGCTGAGGCGGGAGGATTGCCTAACCCCAGCAGGTCAAGACTACAGTAGCTGTGAGCATGCCACTGCACTCCATCTCACAGAAGTGAGACGTCAACTCAAAAAAAAAAAAAATTCAAGAGATAATAGTCAAAATTTTTCTGAAATTAAAGACATTAACTCACAAATCCAAAAGCTCAGGATATATCAGGCAGAACATACACATACACACACACACAAACACACGGCCAATAGTCAAACTATTGAAAATCAAGAAGAAAAAGAGACATCAGAAACAAAAGAACAACAAGAAGAATTTTAGCTAATTTCCAATAGCACAATAAAGGCAAGACGGCAATGGAACAAAAGTATTCTTGGTGATGAAAGGAAAAAAAGTAAAAATAATTGTTATATCCATTGAAAAGGTCCATTGAAAGAAAAATCTGGGCCAGGCTCAGCGGCTCAGCCTGTAATCTCAGCACTTTGGAAAGCCAAGGCAAGTGGATTGCCTGAGCCTGTGAGTTCGAGACCAGCCCGGGCAACTTGGCAAGACCTTATCTCTACAATCAATCAATCAAAATGAGCCAGGTGTGGTAGTGCGTGCCTGTAGTTCTGGTCATGCGGAAGGATCGCTGGAGCGCAACAGGTTGATGCTGCGGTGGCCATAAGTGTGCCACTGCACTCCAGTCTAGGCGACAAAGACTCCAACTCAAAAAAAAAAGGGAAAAAGAAAAATTTGGTGGAGCACAGTGGCTCACACCTGTAATCCTAGCACATTGGGAGGCTGAGGTGAGAACTGCTTGAGCCCAAGAGTTTGAGACCAACCTGGGCAACAGAGACCTTGCCTCTACAAAAAATTAAAAAGTTAGCCTGTAGTTCCAGCTACTCAGGAGACTGAGGCAGAAGGATCACCTGAGCCCAGGAGGTGGAGGCTGCAGTGAGCCATAATCATGCCACTGCACTCCAGTCTGGGCAAGAGAGTGAGGCCCCAAGTCCGAAAAAAGAAAAAAAAAACAAACTTGAGACAGATAAAACCTAAGAAACTCTCTCCAGCAAACTTGCATTACAATAAATTATTAAAAGTTCTTCAGAGAAAGCCGGGCTTGGTGGCTCAGCCTATAATCCCGTGCCTTTGGGAGGCTGAGGTGGGTGAACTGCCTGAGGCCACGGGTTCGAGACCCACCTGGGCAAATTGGCGAGACCTCATCTCTACAATAAATCAAAAATTAGCTGGGTGTGGTAGTGCGCGCCTGTAGTTCCAGCTACTTGGAAGGCTGAGGCAGAAGGATCGCCGGAGCCCAGCAGGTTGAGGCTGCAGTGGCCAGGAGCGGCCACTGCACTCCAGTCTGGGCGACAGAGTGAGACTCCAACTCAAAAAAAAAAAAAAAAAATTCTTCAGAGAAAAGGAAAATACCAGATAAAAACAGATCTGCATAAAGAAATGTGGAACAACAAAAGGGTAAATAAGCAGACAAAAATAAAAGAATTTCTGGGCCAGGCGCAGTGGCTCACACCTATAATCCCAGCAATTAGGGACACCGAGATGAGAGGATTGCCTGAGCCCACGGGTTCGAGACCTGCCTGGGCAACTTGGCAAGACCTCATCTCTACAATAAATCAAAAAATAAGCCGGGCATGGTGGTGCACGCCTATAGTTCCAGCTACACAGAAGGTTAAGGTGGAAGGATCACCTGAGCCCAGTAGGTCAAGGCTACAGTGGCCATGAGCATGCCACTGCACTCCAGCCTGGGCGAAAGCGACTCCAAATCAAAAATAAATAAATAAGCCAGGCTCGGTGGCTCAGCCTGTAATCTCGCGCCTTTGAGAGGCTGAGGCGAGTGGATTGCCTGAGCCCGCGGGTTTGAGATCCGCCTGGGCAGCGAGACCTCATCTCTACAATAAATCAAAAAATCAGCCGGGCGTGGTAGTGCATTCCTGTAATTCCGGCTACTTGGAAGGCTGAAGCAGAAGGATCGCCGGAGCCCAGCGGGTCTAGGCTGCGGTGGCCGGAAGCGGCCACTGCGCTCCAGTCTGGGCGACCAAGTGAGACTCCAACTCTAAAATTAAATAAATAAATAAATAAATAAAATAACTTTTGATAACTGTTTTATATTTATTTTCCTTAAAAACTATTAAAGCTGGACATGGTGACTCATACTTACAGTCCCGGTTACTCGGGAGGTTAAGGTGGCAGGATAGGTTGAGCACATGAGTTGGAGTTTAGCCTGGGGAACATAATGAGAACTTGTCTCTAAAAAAAAAAAAAAAAAAAAACAAGAGGCCAGGTGCAGTACAGTGGCTCATGCCTGTAATCCCAGCACTTTGGGAGACAGAGGTAAGAGGATTGCATGAGCCCAGGGGTTCGAGACCAGCCTGGGCAACTAGGCAAGACCTCGTCTCTACAATAAAACAAAAAATTAGCCAGGCATGGTGGTGTGTGCCTAAAGTTCCAGTTACTTGGAAGGCTGAGGCAAAAGGATTGCCTAAACCCAGCAGGTCAAGGTTGCGGTGGCCATGAGTGTGCTACCGCACTCCAGCCTGGGTGACAGAGTGAGACTCTGACTCAAAAATAAAAAAAAAAAAATAAATGAAACCACTGACTATTTCAAGCAAAAATAGTAATATAATGAGAGGATTACAGCATACATGGAAGTGAAATTTATGAAAATAAGATCACACAGCACTTTGGGAGGCAGAAGTGAGAGGATTGCCTGAGCCCAGGGATTTGAGACCAAACTGGGAAACTTGGCAAGACCCTGTCTCTACAATAAATCAAAAAATTAGCTGGGTGTGGCGGTGTATGGCTGTGATTCCAGCTACTTGGAAGGCTGAGGTGGAAAGGCAGAGGGAAAATAAATGAGAATTTGTGGTTTAATTCTTAGTGCATAACGTAGTAAAATATTATGTGAAGATCAGCCAGTAAATCAATGATGTGCATTAATAATCACTAAAGCAAACATTAGAAAGACAACAAGAGGTATAAGAGAAAATTAAGAAAAGAGTAAAATGGTAAACTAAAAATACTTGGTTCACTGGAAAGTAGGTTAAACAAAACAGGAATAGAGAGACAAACAAAACCCAACGGAAAACCAGATGCTGTGGTGTATCGCTATAGTCCCAGTTATTCGGGAGGCTGAAGTGGAAGGACTGCTTCAGTTCAGGAGTTTAAGGCGAGTCTGGCCAACATAGCAAGACTCCCATTTCTCTCTCTCTTTTTTTTTTTTTTTGAGTTGGAGTCTCACTCTGTCACCCAGACTGGAGTGCAGTGGCCGCTCGCGGCCACCGCAGCCTCAACCTGCTGGGCTCCGGCGATCCTTCCGCCTCAGCCTTCCAAGTAGCCGGAATTACAGGCGCACGCTACCACGCCCAGCTTGTTTTTGATTTATTGTAGCGATGAGGTCTCGCCAAGTTGCCCATGCGGGTCTCGAACCCGCGGGCTCAGGCAATCCACTCACCTCAGCCTCCCAAGGCGCAGGATTACAGGCTGAGTCACCGGGCCCGGCTTCTCTCTTTTTTTTTAATCTTTATTTTAGATTCAGGGGGTACGTGTGCATGTTTATTACATGGACATATTGTGCAGAGGGTCTCAGTGGCCCATTCCCCAAATAGTGAATATTATACCCCATAGGTAATTTTTGAACCCTGACCTCCCTCCCCACCTCCCCCTTATTGGTGTCTCCAGGTCTATTATTTCCATCTTTGTGACCATTTAGCTCCCACATATGAGAACCTGGTGCTTGGTTTTCTGTTTCTGAGCCAGTTCACTTAGGATGATGATCTCCAGTTCCATTCATGTTACTGCAAAGGACATGATTTCATTCTTTTTTAAGGCCACATAGTATTTTATGGTGCATATACACTACACCAAGTTTTTCTTTATCCAGTTATTTGTTGGTGTGCACTTAGGTTGGTTCGGTGATTTTGCTACTGTGAATAGTAGTGCCGTAAGCATATGGTATCTTTTTGTATACTGATTTCTTTTCCTTTGGGTAGATCCCAAGTAGTTGGGTTGCTGGGTCAAATGGTAATTCAATTTTTCGTTCTTTGAGAATTCACCAAACTGTTTTCCATAGAGGCTGAACTGGTTTACAATTCCACCAACAATGGATGAGCATTCTCTTTTCTCTGCCACTGTGCCAACATCTGTTGTACATTGACTTCTTAATAATGGCACTGGCTCACACCTATAATCCCAGCACTTTGGGAGTTAGAGGCCAGAGGACTGCCTGAGCCCCGGGATTCAAGACCAGCATGGGCAACTTGGTGAGACCTCGATTCTACAATATATCAAAAAATTAGCTGGACATGGTGGCGTGCATCTGTGGTTCCAGCTACTTGGAAGGCTGAGGTGGAAGGACAGCCTGAGCCCAGGTCAAAGCTGTGGTGGCTGTGAGCATGCCGCTGCACTCCATTTTGGGTGACTAGAGAGACACAGACTCAATAAAAAAAATATAGCCATTCTGACTAATGTGAGTTAATATCTCATTGTGGTTTTAATTTGCATTTCTCTGATGATTAGTGATGTAAAGCATTTTTTCATGTTTGTTGACCACTTGTGTGTGTTCTTTTGGGAAGTGTCTATTTGTGTCCTTTGCCCAATTTTTGATGGACTCCCATCTTTTTAAAACAAATAAAGCAAACAAAAAATAAATGGAGGAAAAAAATAACAACAGAATGAAAAGTTAACCCAACAAGAGGCCTAGCACAGTGGCTCCTACTTGTAATCCCAATGCTTTGGGAGGGAGAGGCAGGAAGATCGCTTGAAACCAGGAGTTTGAGATCAGCAGGAGCAACACTGTGAGATCTCGGCTCTATAAAAAAATGTTCTTGTCTTTTGAGTTGGAGTCTCACTCTGTTGCACAGGCTGGAGTGCAGTGACACGCTCAGGGCCACCCCAGCGTTGACCTGCTAGACTCCGGCGATCCTCCTGCCTCAGCCTTCCGAGTAGCCAGAACTACAGGCGTGCGCTGCCATGTCTGGCTAATTTTTTGATTCATTGTAGAGATGAGGTCTCGCCAAGTTGCCCAGGCTGTTCTCAAACCCGCAGGCTCAGGCAATTCCCTGACCTCAGTCTCCCAAAGTGCTGGGATTACAGGCTTGAGCCACTGCACCTGGGTCACAAAAAAATTTTTTTTTAATTAGCTGGGTGTGGTGGTACGCACCTCTAGTCCCAGCTACTTTTTAGCAAGGTTTTCAATGTACTAAAAAGATACAGTACTCTCAGATATAGTGTGGGGTTTCAACAGCAGTACACAGAATATATTTAGAATGCTTCCTTTTGTGAAAAAAAAAGGGTGGGGGAATAGTAATATACAAGTATTGCTTGTACACAAACAAAGAAACTCTGAAAGGACACACAAGAAATAAGTACTTCGCGACGCGCCTGGGCAACTTGGCGAGACCTCATCTCCACAATAAAACATAAAATTAGCCAGGCGTGGTAGCGCGCGCCTGTAGTTCCAGCTACTTGGAAGGCTGAGGCGGAAGGACTGCCGGAGCCCAGCAGGTCAAGGCTGCGGTGGCCAGGAGCAGCCACTGCACTCCAGTCTGAGCGACAGAGTGAGACTCCAACTCAAAAAAAAAAAAGAAAAAGAAATAAGTACAACCAGATGCAGTGGCTCACGCCTGTAATCCCAGCACTTTAGGAGGTGGAGGTGAGAGGACTGCCTGAGCCCATGGGTTCGAGATCAGCCTGGGCAACATGGAGAAACCTTATTTCTACAATAACCAAAAAATTAGGTGGGCATAGTAGCATAGCCTATAGTTCCAATTACTTGGAAGGGTGAGGTGGAAGGATCACCTGAGCCCTGCGGGCCATGACTACAGTGGCTATGAGCATGCCACTGCACTCCAGCGTGGGCGACAGAGTGAGACTTTGACTTGAAAATAAAGAAAAAGGGAAAAGTTATAAATATTTTATAAACCTAATTAAGTTTTTAAAAAATACACAATACCTATATGCATATACATATCCAAGTGCATAACAAATAAGTAAAGATTATGCACTAAAATCTTAGTAGTAGTTTTCTTTTGGTTTGGGGGAATACTGTAGCGCTAGGTTTTCTTTTTTTGATTTGGAGTCCCACTCTGTCATCCAGGATGGAGTTCGGTGGCATGATTACAGTCACTGCAGTCTCTACCTGCTGGGCTCAGGCGATCCTTCTGTTTCAGCCTTCCAGATAGCTTGAACCACAGTTCCATGCCACAAGCTGCAGCTATTTTTTTTTTATTGTAGAGATGCAATCTTGCCAAGTTGCCCAGGCTGGTCTCAAACCCCTGAGCTCAGGAAATTCTCTCACCTTGGCCTCCCAAAATGCTGGGATTACAGGTGTGAGCCACCTTGTCCGGTGAGAACCTGGTTTTCTCATTATACTTTCCTGTGTTTCTCTTTTCCTTTTTTTTGAGTTGGAGTCTCACTCTGTTGCCCAGACTGGAGTGCAGTGGCCGCTCCCAGCCACCACAGCTTCGACGTGCTGGGATCCAGTGATCCTTCCGCCTCAGCCTTCCAAGTAGCTGGAACTACAGGTGCGCACTACCACGCCTGGCTGATTTTTTTATTTATTGTAGAGATGAGGTCCCGCCAAGCTGCCCAGGTGGGTCTCGAACCCACGGGCTCAGGCAATCCACTCTCCTCAGCTCCCAAAGGCGTGGGATTACAGGCTGAGCCACCAAGCCCAGCTCCTGTGTTTTTCAAACTAACAGGTATTACTTTTATAATTTAAAAAAAAAAAAAAAAAAACTTGACACCTTTACCTCAAAATCTGCTCCTGACAAGAAGCAATTCTCTTCATGAATTTGTAAAACATCTGATCTCCACTTTTAATTATGGTCTTCTCATATTTTTCATTACCATCACTGGAAAGACTAAAAAACGAAGCAGAAAACACTTCTGAATGTCTATATCCAGAAAATTAAAGTATTAGAAAATAATTTTGTTTAAAAAACTATCAAAGTAATACATGTACACAATTTAAGTATCAAAAATACTGAGTAGCTAATAATGTGTTTCCTGTAGTCTCTTGACCCACCATTCTCCCAAATCATTTTCAACTCTGGGGTATTTATAATTTAACAACATTATATCCATTGACTCTCTCCATTATAGACTATTTTCAAATACCAAATATCTTCATGTACTCTTTTAAAAATATTATTCTGAGAAAACCTCCAAGTGAAACAGCTCTGATAAAGGACCAGGTCACCTCTCCAAATATCCTGTTGTAATTCTATTATTATAATAGCAAAAATGATCATTCTTAACTTCTTTAGAGTGTGTGGGTTCTTGTTGTTGTTGTTGTTGTTTTGAGTTGAAGTCTCACTCCGTCGCCCAGGCTGGAATGCAGTGGCATGCTCACAGCCACCCCAGCGTCAACCTGCTGGGCTCAGGCAATCCTTCCGCCTCAGCCTTCCAAGCAGCTGGGACTACAGGCGTGTGCTACCACAGCAGGCTTAATTTAGATTTATTGTAGAGAAAAGGTCTCACCAAGTTGCCCAGGCTGGTCTCAAACCCATGGGCTCAGGTAATCCCCTAACCCAAAGTGCTGGGATAACAGGCTTGAACTACTCACCAGGTCTGAGTGCTTTGGTTTATAAAGACTTTCAAGATTTACTCTCTCACTTGACTCCCAAAATCATGTGATGCAATAAATAATAGAGATATCACTATCCCTCCATTTTATTTTATTAAAAAAAATTTTAACTGGATGCAGTGGCTCATGCCTATAATCCCTGAACTTTGGGAGGCAGAGGCAAGAAGACCGCCTGAGTCTAGCAGTTCGATACCAGCATGGACAACTTTGCGAGACCTCGTCTCTATAACAAATCAAAAAATTATCTGGGCATGGTGGTACACACCTGTGGTTCCAGCTACTAGGAAGGCTGAGGCGGAAGGATCGTCTAAGCCCAGCAGGTCAAGGCTGCAATTAGTGTCCAGCATGGGCAACAGAGTGAGACTCCTACAAAAAAAAAAAAGATTTGTAAATTTTAGATTCAAGAGGTACATGTACAGATTTGTTATATGGACCTATTGTGTGACAATAAAGTTTTGCTTCTATTGAACCTATACCCAGTTGGTGAGCATGGCACCTAGTGGGTGGCTTTTTAGCCCTTACCCTCCTTCCCTCCCCACTTTAGGAGTCCCCAGTGGTCTGTCCCATCCTTATGCCCATTAATTCCTCCATTTTACAGGTGAGAACTGAGGATCCAGAAGTTCTAGGCCAGTTCCACAGCCACAGACAAGAGTCAATAAACAAATAGCGTTTTTCTAACTCACAAGTCTGTGCAATAAAGACATTTAGAAATATAAAATAAAGTAAAAGAGGCAGCAATCGCGTTTTCTGTACATACTTGGCCATCTTGAACTTGTATGTTCATCTTTGCTCATTTTCTTAACGGTACTTATAAGCAGTGTTTTCAAGCTAGCTCAAGGTAGGATGATAAGGAGATCCCCTTGTCTCTGTTACCTTTTTCTTATCCAAGAGGAGCGAAGCAGAAAGGCCCTACATACAAGTTCTGCCTGAGGAAGTTTCCGCAGGTCCTGGGGCAAAACCAAAGGGTACCTGTTGTGGCTGCTGACCAAATCACCTCTCAACCTCAGCAGTGCACATTCTCACCTTTGGGAAAGCAACTGATGCACAGCAATTCCTTCTCTCTGTTGATAGTCCCTCAGAAGGCTGTGTGCATGATCCAGACTGACCGAGTACCTGTAATCATCCTCATCTACAACACAGATATAGTAGGGCAGGAACTGCAGTCCCCCAGTGGGCAAGGCCACCCGTTCTCCTGGAGGTGCAGGGTGAGCAGCCTCCAGGACAGCATCCTGCAGGCGGAGGTCTTGGAGCTGGGCAGTCCAATCTGTATCTTGGGCGTTACTGGAGTCATTTCCAAAATCCAAAGTAAGCTGTGGTGAAGAGGCCTCCTCAATATCGCTTCCCCAGTCATCCGCACCTTCACACCAGTCCTCAGCTGCAAGGCCATTTTCCTGTTTCTGGAAGAATATCTAGTGAATGAGGTCCAAGCACACCTGAATGATTTCATCCACTCCTTTATCTCCAGGCACCCATTCCTTCACCTTCCTGAGGGAGCCTTCATACCAGCCCCTTCTACTCTGGCACAGTCTAACTTTCTTTTTTGTTTTGTTCAGATGGGGTCTAGCTCTGCTGCCAAGGCTGGAGCGCAGGGGCATGATCACAGCTCACTGCAGCCTCAAACTCTTGGACTCATCTGAGCCTCCTAAGTACTTGGGACTACAGGCACATGCCATCACACCTGGCTAATTTTTGAAATTTCTTACGGAGACAGGGTCTCCCTATGTCACTCAGGCTGGTCTCGAACGCCTGGTCTCAAGTGATCCTCCTGCCTGGGCGTGAACCACTGGTCTAGGCCCCAGTCTAATTTTCTGGACCCCATCTACTCAAAAGCAAGTCAGAGGTGACTTAAATACTTATGTTTCTTTTTCAAGGGCATTGTGGCAGATGTAGTACAGTTTCTTCAACCATCTGTTCCAAAATCTTTTTGTTGTGCGTCATGTAACGCAGACACTGAAAAGAACTACATTTCCCATGCTCCTTAGCAGCTAGTGTTTCAGTATGATCAGGGATCTGTAATCAGGACCACTAGAAACAGACATAAATTGAGACACAGTGAAGTAGAAAGGAACACCAGGAAGCAAAGGGCAGTCAGTCTGTAGCTATAGATACAGCAAAGACTCTTGAGCCAACAGTTCTGGGTTAGGGAATGGCTTTCGGTTCACCAGACCATACCTAGGCTTTCTGATTGCAGGAGAGGTAGCATAGCAGCCCCTTGATGGCCGTTTGGGTGAGATTCTAGAGGTCATCCCTGGAGCTGCCTCCTCCAGCCTATCCAACTAGTTAGTAAAAACCGAATTCCTAGTGTTAAGTCTGTCTCAGCTTAAGAGTCAAAGTGCTGTTCCATTATCTTCAATTGAACCCTCACAAATATAGGCAAACACCATCTCTTTCATATTACTATGTCAAGCACACATCAAGAACTCAGTGTATATACTGAGGCACATTTACAGGCAAAGGAGGCTGAATTTTGTTCTGCAGCTACCAACTTGCTTTACTTTTCAATGGCATACATTCAGATTCATTATTAAATGTATATATGGCTGGACGCAGTGGCTCACGCCTACAATGCCAGCACTTCGGGAGACCAAGGTGAGAGGATTGCCTGAGCCCATGAATTCGAGACCAGCCTGAGCAACTTGGCGACAACTCATTTCTACAATAAGTCAAAAAATTAGCCAGGTGTGGTGGCACGCACCTGTAGTTTCCAGCTACTTGGAAGACTGAGGCAGAAGGATACACTGAGCCCAGCAGGTTGAGGCTGCGGTGGCTGTGAGTGTGCCAAAGCACTTCAGCCTGGGTGAGAAAGTGAGAGACTCCAACTCAAAAAAAATATGTGTTTGTTATATACATATTTATATATCACAGTAAGTATATTTACTAAGTACACATATATGTACTACACATAAACCACATACAACATATACACATGCCTGTACATTTTCTCAAACAGAAAAATCAGTAAATATGTGTCTCTAGACCCTCAGTGTAAGATTAAAAAAAAAAAAAAAAAAAAACCCATATATAAGGCCAAGTGTGGTGGTTCATGTCATAATCCCAGAACTTTGGGAGGTGGAGGCGAGAGGATTGCCTGAGCCCAGGGGTTCGAGACCAGCATGGGCTACCGGGTGAGACTGCATCTCCACAATAAATTAAAAAAAAAAATTAGCCAGACACGGTAGCATGCACCTGTAGCTCCAGCTACTTGGAAGGCTGAGACAGAAGAATTACGTAAGCCAATCACAGCTCACCACAGCCTCTAACTCCTGGATGCAGGCAATCCTCTCACCTCCGTCTCCCTGAGTGTTAGGCTCACGCTTGTAGTCCCAGCATATTGGAAGGCCAAGGTTGGGGGATTGCTTGAGCCCAGGAGTTCAAGACCAGCCTGGGTAACATAGTGAAACTTGTCTCTACAAAAAAAAAATCAAAAAGTAGCTGGGCATGATGGCACATTCCTGTAGTCCTAGCTATTCAGGAGGCTGAGAGTGAAGGATTGTCTGTGTATAGAAGTTGGAGGCTGTGGTGAACCGTGATCGTGCCACTACACTCCAGTCTGGGTGAGGGGGCTAGACACCGGCTCAAAACGACAACAACAAAAACCAAAGGAGGTAAAAACCATAAGTAAAACAAAAGCCAAAAAAAAACCCTTAAGAAAACAGCATTTTAAGATTCTGAAAAACAGCAAAAACCATTACAATGCATTTTATTTATTTTTTTAGTTGGCGTCTCACTTCGTCACCCAGGCTGGAGTGCAGTGGCACGCTCACGGCCACCCCATCGTCGACCTGCTGGGCTCAGGCAATCCTTCAGCCTCAGCCTTCCAAGTAGACTACAGGTTAATTTTTTCATTTATTCTAGAGACGAGGTCTCACCAAGTTGTCCAGGCTTGTCTCGAATGCCTGGGCTCAGGCAATCCTCTCACCTCAGCCTCCCAGAGTGCTGGGATTACAGGTGTGAGCTAACACGCCCGAACTCATTCCAATGTATTTCAAAGAACACATGAGCAAGGGTACCTGATCTCAAACCAGGGAGGCCCAAACTTTACCTGTACAATGACCCCATGGATACCTAACCCTGAATTGTCCTCCACATCATTTTTTTTGTTTGTTCTAAACAATACTCTGGAAAATATCCCCAAATGACAGCAAAACGTAATACTCCACCCACAATCGCTTTACCTGAGCGTCCGACTGCGCCTCTTGCTCTCGCACTTGCAGACACTGGGAGCGGAACACCTTCCAGCTTCAGGGTGAAGACAAACGGCCGTGAGGGCTTCGCTCCTGCCTGCCGACCCGCCCCAGCCGGTGCGCACGCCGCCCCCGCCCGCGCGGAGAGACACCCGGGAGGGACTCCGGGACTTGCCTACCTGCGCGCCCCGCCGTGACTGCAGCTGGGGCAGGCGCAAGCGAACACGTGCAGCAGCCGGTGAAACGGAGATCCTTCCAGAGGGCAGTACACCTGCACGACCAGCGTGAGAAGCTGCCCGCAGCGCTCACACGCCGGCCTCGGCGCTGCCACGGTAGGCAGAGCATCCTGGGGGCGGGAGAGGCGCTCAGACCCCGCTCGGACCCAGAACACGGCGCACGCCCTCGCTCGGCACCCACAGACCCCGACGCCGGCGCCCGCCCTTACCGGAACGCCGCCCAACTTGTTTGCCGTCCAGGCGCCCGGCCCGGGGGGGCTGCAGTGCACTGCCGCGTCGCGAAGCCCGAGCAGTACCGGCTTGCGGACAGCCGCCAT